TTTCCTTCCTTCTTTCGGTGCTTCGCACTAGGTACAAGAGGGGTGTCATTCTGTGTGTTGTGGCTTCCTTCGCTCCCCATGTTGGAGAGGGGTGCCTGGTCAAAAAAGAGTGTACGAATGGTGGAAACCAGCTTGGCAAAGCTGAAGAGAGTGGGAATAAGTGTCGTTCCCACAAACGGCGCCAAATGTTGATGCACAAAATCAGTGAGGACTTTGGTACAACAGAAAGTGTTAAGTTTGTGACCTTCACTAGATTACTCCGGTCACTAGTGTGGATAAGTATACAAATAGATAGAGACATGGAAGCAAACACAAGATGTACGTGGTTCACCCATATTGGCTACGCCCACAGAGTAGAGGAGTTCTCATTAATTGTGAAGGGTTTACACAAGTACATAGGTTCAAGCTCTCCTTTAATGAGTATCAGTGAATGATTTAGTACAAATAACATTAGGAAATACTGTGAGAGGAGGGGGAACAAATATCCTCAAAGCTATCTCTCTCTTGTAGGGTAGAATAAATCGCTCTCCAAAGTTGATTTAATAACCCACTTAAGGTGGACTTAACTAGGCTTTGAGAGAAATTTATTTCCCTTTCCTAGAAGGACCTAATTTCCTATTAAAGAGAGAATCTACATCAAAATAGGAAGCAGTCCTAAGCTTACTAAAGCAAGATCTCTACACCTGCTGACCTTTTCTGCAAACAGCCCAACAGGTGTGGGGGCATTTGTGGAGCCAAAAATATTCACAAGGCGACACGTGGATTTTTGACAAAAGAAGACAAGAATACCCTTGGGGCATACCGGGATTCCTACACGCAAGCAGCGGGCAATTATCCCTCAACCAAGTCAAAAGTGCCCAAAATAGGTATCAACTTAAAACCTAATTTATTCATATATTTCCTATTTCATTATTTAGCTAATCAATTAGCTATATACTATACTTATTCCATAATTCCTAAAACATTCATTCTAAAATAATGATAAATAGCTAATTAATGGGTTAATTAGCTAATTATTCCCTTAATTAGCATTTAGACCATTCACTTTACCCTAACTACCACAAAAGGCCGGTTATCCCTCATCCCCAAAATAAATCAGCCTTTCCTTCTACCTTTTTTCCTTTGTATGACAAATAATTAGCCAAGTTAATTAGGGAGTTATTGGCTAATTATTTTGTAACTCCTAATTAAACCTAAATTAAACCCAAAAAACCCTAGCCACCTCCTATCCCTATAAATATACTCCCATTCTCACCAAAACGCCAATTCCAACACTTTGGCAAAAATCCCAAAATTCTCTAAACGCTCTTTCTCTCTAAATTCTAACTTTGGCATCGGAGATTCTTCGGCCAAAGCCCCCCCCCATTCATTGTGGGCGCGTGAGGCTCATGGCCTTAACCTAAGGTGTTAATTGTTTTGTAGGTGCAAAATTGTCCAAGATCAAGGAGGAAGAAATTTGCATCCACAAGTTCATCTAAGTCGAACCTGTGATTTCGAATTTAGTGCCTTTGAAACCCAAAGTTTTCATAAAACAATACACCCATGAAACCTGGAATTTTTCATGCTTAATTTAAATGAAAACATGTCTAGAGGACCCAAATGTTTTACTTTTGACTATCAATGTTTTCCCAAAGCACTGACCACGACCATGTTCCCTCCATTGTAGCGATATGTCGAATCTTAACAAATTCGACTTTACCGCTTGCGCTGGAAGTCTTTGGAATAAACTATCTGAAGTGAGTTCAAGATGTGAAGCTTCACCTCACTGCCAAAAGTCTCAAAACCACCATTGGAAAGATGTTCAAACCAATTGGTGAAGCTGATAAAGCAACATCTATGATCTTTATTAAGAGGTGTTGAAACCAAATTGCACACCACCATGTAGGGAGGAGATCCACAAACTCAACTATGTGTAAATTAACAAACAACACCACATTGTAACCTTAGCACCGGTGGGGTGCTGACCAAAAGTTCTCAAACGGTCAAATTAGTAAGTAATTTGTGAGACTCAAGTATGTGATTATTGCGTTATTTGTGATGAACCCTAGAATGGTGTATTTATACTAGTCGAGAGAGAGAGTCCTTTTAGGATATAGAATTCATCTTAAATCATGAGAACCTCAAATGATATCTAGATACTGCATCATCTTAAGAGTGTGATTACTTACGGAGCACACCAAATTTCTAGATTGTACGAATCTCCAAGTATAGAAAACTTGACTGATTGCAAAACAAGAATGGTCAATCTCAGCGAAGTCTATATATTTTGCCCACTTATCCAGAACAAGATGATGGTGGCATTGCTGATTCATTTATGTAGCTCAATAAGTCCAAAGCTATTGAGTTCATGACAAGACTTCTGAGATACTCATATTCCAATCCGTCTTACTTTGAACTTGGAAAATCTTGGTCTCACAATTGTCCTAACTATGTATCTAAAAGAATTGTTTCGCTTGAGGATGGATAGTTAGCCAAGGAAAAAGCCTTCCAGAGTAAATTGGGATACACACCGTTTTGAATTCTTTTGACACATGACAATTCAACTTTGTAATCGTTGCAAGATAATTGAGATGTCCCCAGAAAGGCAACCTAGAAAGTTGTGGTGCAGAGGCAGTAATGATGAGAGGTGTCATGTTGCGTGTGCACAATAAACAAGGGACGACTCTTTATGTTACAGAGTGGCTTGATCTTTGCACACACGAATTTCGAAGTAAGACGTTCTGAATTCAATAGTGAGATTACTTGGGACTTCATTTATTAGTAGCACATATTTTCTCCCCCTTCCTCTAACTCTTTTTTTTCCCTCTATATTTTCAGATCAAAACATAGTTATCCTCGATATCATTTAAGGTCCACCACTCGAACCCATCCTTCACTTTGAGTCTTCGATATACGCAGCCAAGAAACTTGCAATACACACACTCTTTGCTATCAAGAATTGTTAAATGGAATAAGGATGAGCTACAACCTTTCAGAAGTTAATTACTTCATCTTATCGGGTTTCTGGTCCTTGGCCTTCATACTCTGCTCCATAGCTAAAATCGACATCATTCCCCCAATCTTCGCATGCGGGTTCATCTTGAGTAGAGTATCAAGATTCTTAAGTGGGTTCTTCTTCATTGGAATCCTCTCAATATTCTCCTAAAGTGAGTTGGGTTAGCTAGAATAACAAGCGTCCCCGTTGGAAAAGAAAGAGTCCATTCTCCACACCCAAAATTGTACGCTTGTTGCCTTATTACTTACTCTATGTAATGAACATGTGTCCACACATTTTGCTAAGTATTATTTACTAAATTCATTAATCCTGTTAGAGTAAAGTACTTTGGACTTTTCATCCTTTGCTTCCTTATCACGAAATTTAGTTTAATCTGACAATCGTTTCGAAGTAAGCTAAATCGAAGTAATAAGTAACGGAGTCAAACACGAATAAGTTACCAATGAAGTGGAAAAGTTTTTTATGTCGTTTGGAGCAGCTTGATTGCTTCCTTCAATTTTCCGATCGATGTATTGTAGCAATTGCAAACTTTCATCAATGCAACGATTATGAATACAGATTACTGCACCATAATAAACAGATATTATTGTTATCATTAACATTCCAAGTTTCTCTGACCAAAAATTAAAAAACCATTGAAATGTATAGGTTTAATTTGTTGCATTAGAACGTAGATCAACTCAAAAGTTTCTAATTACACAACTATTCTTGATTAAAGTTGCTTTAACAACTACGTTTAATTTGTCACTAAATCAAGGCTCTAAAAGTAAAAGTCTATGTGCCAAGAAAACTCGCCAGAAATTCGACTTTTCTGTTTCTAAATCTGTTAGTTCATCTACAAGCAGTGGCCTGTTATTGTTGTTGGTCGTACATGCACTCTCATATACTAGCTACTAGTAAGTGGTACTTATTTCCTCAATATTGAAAGCGATATCAAGTTCGAATGACCACATGAACCAGAATACCATCCTTTTCTTAATAAGTAATTTAACGAGTACACTCAAAAGGCATTGTTGTGGTTCTCATGCATTTGTTGGAATAAATTAACTATGAGGCAATTGATTTGCTTTTCTTGCGGTATTCATCAACTTCATGGTGCTTTATTCTTCTATTCACTTTTAGTTTTAGAACTTGGTGCCCTCTAAGGATATCCAAGATTTCTTCCCAGTTTTCAGTCTTATCACCACTTAAAAGCAGTTACTAAAATATAGCAGCTCTCTTATTAACAATAAAGTAATAAAATTTCATATTTAACAACAAGAAGCAAAGAGAACAAGGTCTAATTAATCATGTATTTTGCAACTTCCTTATATAAGGTGGTGGAAAAACCAGCTCGCGGGTGCGGAGAACCAAATACGGGTGAGGATAGGTGAAAATGTTGAAGGAGAGACTTACTAATGAGTCTTCTTAGATTGCAGAACTGAGACATTCTTAGATTGCAGAACTTAGACAACAGAGCACACTGCCTGTATGAGAGTGAGCACGAGGAGCAAAACAGCTGCAGCAATAGATAGAGTTGCCCAAGGCGTGTTGCAATAATTTTGTCTTAAATTTGCCTTCCATTTGTGCCATGAAGTTTTGCAGTACTTGTTCAGGTCTTCACAAAGAGTAGCAAAATAGAAGTCGTTCGAGTCCACTATGACCCCATCGGCAAGGTTGTTAATCAGATTAGAACCTCCACTGCTGTCACCAAGCCTATTTTCAACAATTCCGTGCTTAACAAGCAACTCCACATCCTTTGCAGTGTTCACGAAACGATCCATGATGACAACATAGTCATTCATGTAATTCTCCATACAGTGGCATTGTTCAAAGGCAAGGAGGTTTCTGACTGTAAGTTCTGTTTCATCACTAATTGTCAATTTTGGAATTTCTAGAATCCCATCATTGAATTGTATGTCGAGTAAGTTTTTGGCTGATCCCACTCTAAACTTGACTCCTGCCCGGTGTAACTCTGTGATGCTTGGCGTGTTTAGAGTTTTGAGTTTCCCTTTAGCCTGCCGTTCTAGTGGTAGCGGTAGATATAATTTTCTACAAAAAATCGACAAAATGTTTCTGCTTTATAAGCACACATTTTATCCAAATTTCCATCCGCTCCTTCAAGATCTTTGAAGAATACGTGAGAAAGTTTGATTATCGAAAGCCTCTCAGTACAGTTACTATCAGAAGGTACATCGATTTTATCTGGGTCAAAAAGATCCTCAAGAACGAAGAATGGCAACTGATTTTCAAGCAGCCGTATGTCAGGCCATACGTCCTGCAGCATCCATGGTTTGTTAAATATACGATCATTCTCGTCCTGCAATTCATGGAAACGGTGCCTCAACAAGACCTCAATAATGAATGCTGCATCCACTAGAACAATTCTTACAAAGTCGTCACTGCTAAACTCGATAGTTTCTGCGTAACAACTGCGTATCTTGCCCTCTTGGTCCTTTATTTTCTTTATATAGTGCTCCAAGCCGACCCTGGTTCTGCGTATAAAATCTCGTAGGTACCTCTTTTTGTGCTCTTCCATGGCTTGTAGGCCTTCCTTTCCATGGTGAAGAGGACCTATAGAGACTACTTGAGGTGTGTAGGCCTTTTCACTTACACGCCGCAGTCGTTCAGGAACTCTGTAGATACAACACGAAGACGACAAGGGAGCCAAAACATCCAACTCCCGATTCATTGATTTTGCTAACGGAATGTATGGGTTTTCGATGTCATGTGGAGCTTCGTTGCTTCCTTCCATTTTTATTGCTGATGTGTTTGTTGCTCCAATTCGTAATTGCTGGCAACGAGATGTTGATCACTAACACAACAACAAACAAATTTTTCCCTATGATATTTTCAACAAGCTCAACCAACTATTGAGAAAATATGACAACAATCAAAACTAATCAACATAATTGACAAAATTAACCCAAGAATCGAAAATATACACACCCGATTTTTGTAAGAGAAAACACACATAGACCTTTATACATCCCACCCCAAATGCCTTAAAAGAATTCAAATGGAATGCACCAAGTTCATACAAAACTCTGTTTCTTATGCTCTTGAAAAGTTCCTACTAATTATGTGAATCGGCATGAAGAAGGAAAGTATAGATGTTAGGATCAATGGTACTACAATATGGAAAAAAATACAATGTAAAGTGAAAAGATAGACATCAAGAATTTACGTTGTTTGGCAATTTGTGCCCTACATGCACGGACCAGTGATCAATCTTCCACTATATCAAAATAATGGGTACAAGAAGAACAATCTTATCAAGCCAAAGACAAGGCTTGATGAATAGAATAAAGTATAACACTCTCTCACACTAGACACGCTGATTTTTTTTTTTCTTAGAGAAATTTTGCAGCAATCCCCTAACCATTCTGCTCAATTTCAATTTCCAAACACAATATTGGCAGTGAAAAATAAAACAGTGAAAGGTTCACGATTTGGATGAGCCAATAAACATTACGAGATTAGAGAAAAATACATAGCAAATAAAAAGAGAGAGAAGGGAGATAGGAAGTAAAAATGTACCTGCTACGTGTGTTAAAAAAAAAAAAAAAGTTTGCTTTGCGTTTGATAGGTGACTGGAAAAGCTCAATGCAGACAGCTTTCTCTTCTGGCTCTTCTAGTCCATCTGCGTCCCAGTTCCGGGCGGAGCGCCGGTAGTGTGATGGATTTTTTATTTGACAAATGGTCTGCACCTTCTTCCTCTTCTCAATCACAAAATGCCGATTTTTTATATGCAGGAATCTTCCCTTCTTAATAATATCACAATGACGGGGTACTTTATGTAAGAAGAATTGGACGAGTTGAAGAAGTCAGGTCAACTCCTTCGCAGCTTCCTTGCCTTTTCTTTGTTAAGTCTCTTCCTTGACTATAAGAAACTGTCTTGTACTTGCCTTCATCTACCCTTTTCTGCGAAGTCTCCAATGGCTTTCCATGAAAGAGGTTTTTTTTTTTTTTTTTTTTTTTACAATATTATCTACCCTAAGGAGAGAAGGTGAACTTAGCCTCACAATGGGCTATCAATAATATAGTTCAAATTCGCCATTAACGAAAATGGATTCTAAAACCTCTTACTTATAAGTTAAGAGCAATACCACTAGACCGTATCATATTTTTTACTTGACCATAAGAAACTGACTTGTATTTGCCTGGTTTTGTTCTCAAAGCAAAACTCTCTCCGCCTGGGATCATGTTTTTTCCTTATCTTTAAGAAACTGTCTTGTATTTGCCTTTTCTTTGATACGTCTCTTCCTTGACTACAAGAAACTGTCTTGTATTTGCCTTCATCTACCCTTTTGTGCGAAGTCTCCAATGGCTTTCCATGAATTGTTTTTTATTTTTTTTATTATTTATTATTATTATTATTATTTTAAACCGATATTATCTACATTAAGGAAGGATGTGAGCTTAGCCTCATAATGGACCAGCAATAATGTGATTCAAATTCGTTTTTGATAAAAATCAAACCTAAAATCTCTCACTTACAAGTGAGAAGAAGAATACTAGGAGACCATGGTAGTGAGTGGCTTTCCATGACAGTTTCTAAATAAGATTACAAACCAGGCCCTCTACAGATTTTATTATGAAGCAAATTAAATAAAGAGAGCTTTTATGAAAAGGCCTAGGGTTAAGTTTATTTTAATAAAAAATCATGTTATAACTTTATTTAATAAGAAAAAAACTTAAATTTGATTGAAAAACCCTTAAATTTTAATAAAGATGACACAATTTTAATATATATAACCTGACACATGAGATCCATGCGTCCATCACAGTCATTGTTTATGAAACAGTTCTATATTGTTTATGAAACTTAACGGTAGTATACTATTTATGAAACTCAACGGTACTATAATATTTATGAAATTGAATGATATTACACTATTTATTGGTCTAGATTCATCAATAGTGCCTAGTTTTTTGTTCACTTTCATAAATAATGCCTAGTTATTGGGTCATATTTTATAAATAATATAAGTAATTGGTACAGTTTTCTAAATAGTGTCATATTCTTGGTCAAATTTCATAAATAATGCCTAGTTCTTAGTCCACTTTCATTTATAATGCCTAATTTTTTGTCATGTTTCATAAATAGTGTCTCTTTCTTGATCTAGTGTATTATATTGAACTCTTTCAATTGTTTATATTTTCTAATCAAACAGAGAACCAATTAGAAATGGAGGTGATTAAAAATTCATACCGTACACAGCTCAAAGTTTATTTTTCTTAGCATATTCCCATACAAATCAAACAAAAGATACTGCGAATTATAAATCAAACCTGGAATTAATAAGAAAAAATAAAAATCGAGCTCATATTTTACTCAAATATTTGACAATCCTAGATGATAAGAACTCTCGTGCATGAAAGCATATAGAACTGATATTGAACCCAGAGAATATGTCATCCAAATACAAGAAGTAGGCGAAAAATCGAATCTAACAAGCTCGATTAAGTGAAAACTTCATTAAACAGTGAAAATTAAAGATGAAAAACTTTGACATTTCTACAAATCATTTTCCTGCGTTTTCTCGGGAACCAAACAACCCTTTGCGATTGAAATTCCAGAAAATTAATAGCCGATCCTTGAGTGAGGAGGAAGGACCGAGATGGAGCTGAAATCGCAGGCCTCGTTGATCTTCAACTTCCTGTGCTTGAATCAGTAGGACTTTGAGGTCCGTTTGGATGTTCGGAAATTGAAGAATGAAACACAGTTGAATTTCTAGGAGATTTGAAGAGAGATGGACCTTTGATTGGAAAAAGACCACCGACTGACAGTTTGAAAAAATCCTTTGCTTCCTCATATTGTTCTTCTCTACTATTTTTTTTTTATGAATCCCCTTTCTCCTCCCATCAATCACTCCACATAAATATATATATATATATATATATATATATATATTTTTTTTTTTTTAAAAAGTTGCGGCATATGTATATATATATATTTTAAATGGAGAAAAAACTCCATAGAAGCAAATACATAAGCTGGGAATAAGCACCAGCACACCAAACCAAACAAAAGCTGGTAAAAAAAACGCTGTGCTTTGCACACGCCTTTAGTTAGGGGTTATATCTGGGTCAAAAACATCCTCAAGAACGAAGAATGGCAACTGATTTTCAAGCAGCCGTATGTCAGGCCATACGTCCTGCAGCATCCATGGTTTGTTAAATATACGATCATTCTCGTCCTGCAATTCATGGAAACGGTGCCTCAACAAGACCTCAATAATGAATGCTGCATCCACTAGAACAATTCTCACAAAGTCATCACTGCTAAACTCGATAGTTTCTGCGTAACAACTGCGTATCTTGCCCTCTTGGTCCTTTATTATCTTTATATAGTCCTCCAAGCTGACCCTGGTTCTGCGTATAAAATCTCGTAGGTACCGCTTTTGTGCTCTTCCATTGCTTGTAGGCCTTTCTTTCCATGGTGAAGAGGACCTATAGAGACTACTTGAGGTGTGTGGGCCTTTTCACTTACACGCCGCAGTCGTTCAGGAACTCTGTAGATACAACACGAAGAGGACAAGGGAGCCAAAACATCCAACTCCTGATTCATTGATTTTGCTAACGGAATGTATGGGTTTTCGATGTCATGTGGAGCTTCGTTGCTTATTGCTGATGTGTTTGTTGCTCCAAATCATAATTGCTGACAATGAGATGTTGATCACTAACACAACAACAAACAAATTTTTCACTATGATATTTTCAACAAGCTGAACCAACTATTGAGAATATATGACAACAATCAAAACTAATCAACATAATTGACAAAATTAACCCACGAATCGAAAATATACACACCCGATTTTTGAAAGAGAAAACACACATAGACCTTTATACATCCCACCCCATATGCTTTGAAAGAATTCAAATGGAATGCACCAAGTTCATACAAAACTCTGTTTCTTATGCTCTTGAAAAGTTCCTATTAATTATACGAATCGGCACATGAAGAAGGAAAGTATAGATGTTAGGATCGATGGTACTACAATATAGAAAAAAAACACAGTGTAAAGTGAAAAGATAGACATCAAGAATTTACGTTGTTTGGCAATTTGTGCCCTATGTGCATGGACCAGCGATCAATCTCCCACTACATCAAAATAATGGGTACAAGAAGAACAATCTTATCAAGCCAAAGACAAGGCTTGATGAATAGAATAAAGTATAACACTCTCTCTCACTAGACACGCTGATTTTTTTTTCTTAGAGAAATTTTGCAGCAATCCCCTAACCCTTCTGCTCAATTTCGATTTCCAAACACAATATTGGCAGTGAAAAATAAAACAGTGAAAGCTTCACGAATTGGATGAGCCAATAAACATTACGAGATTAGAGAAAAATACATAGCAAATAAAAAGAGAGAGAAGGGAGATGGGAAGTAAAAATGTAACCTGCTACGTGTGTTAAAAAAAAAAAAGGTTTGCTTTGCGTTTGATAGGTGACTTGGAAAGCTCAGTGTAGACAGCTTTCTCTTCTAGCTCTTCTAGTCCATCTGCGTCCTGTTGGAAAATATTAGTATTTAGGTTTATTTTAGTATTTGGGTTTTGCTTGTTAGTTTATGATTTGGGCCTAGCCCATCTAAGTTAGGGTTTCTTAGGTTTAGTTCTCTATAAATAGAGCTTGTAATTTAGTTTGAGAATAAGTCATTAACAATGTAGCCTTTAGAGTTTTGTAGCCGTTTCAGCATTCTCGTTTGTTTATTCTTATTTTGTTAGTCTTGTTTGTTGCACACTCTGATATTCAACTTGGTATAAGATCAGGTTTGATCCTTCGGGATTTAATCTGCTTTGGGTTGGTATATGTTTGCTTGTTTCCGTTGTCGTTCGTGTTCAGATTGTTAGTTGGTATTTATTGTTTGCAAGGAAAAGAAAAATGAAAGAAAAAAAAAGTTTTGCTTGCAGAGGAGAAGATCCCCCAGCAAAGAAAAAAAGGGGACGAAGGAGAAAAGAAGGAAAAAAAAAAAAGGAACCATGGAAAGGAAGAAGAAGGAAGAAAAAAAAGGGAAAAAATATGGTTGTTTTGTGGCCCGTGTATGCTTGCATTAGGCATGGTAGCTTGAACTTGGAATGGAAATCTGGCATTAGCATCGGCATCGGCATCGGCATCGGCATCGGTATTGGTATTGGTATTGGCATCGGCATCGGCATTGGCATTGGCATTGACACTGGAATTTGGAGTCTACATCTACTTTGGCAAACCCATGTCGTGTACCGCCATGAGTTTGAGGGGGGTGTTGGAAAATATTAGTATTTAGGTTTATTTTAATATTTGAGTTTTGCTTGTTAGTTTATGATTTGGGCCTAGCCCATCTAAGTTAGGGTTTCTTAGGTTTAGTTCTCTATAAATAGAGCTTGTAATTTAGTTTGAGAATAAGTCATTAACAATGTAGCCTTTAGAGTTTTGTAGCCGTTTCGGCATTCTCGTTTGTTTAATAATATTCTTATTTTGTTAGTCTTGTTTGTTGCGCACTCTGATATTCAACTTAGTATAAGATCAGGTTTGATCCTTCGAGATTTAATCTGCTTCGGGTTGGTATCTGTTTGCTTGTTTTCGTTGTCATTCGTGTTCAGATTGTTAGTTGGTATTTATTGTTTGCAAGGAAAAGAAAAATGAAAGAAAAAAAAGTTTTGCTTGCAGAGGAGAAGATCCCCCAGCAAATAAAAAAAGGGGACGAAGGAGAAAAGAAGGAAAAAAAAAAGGAACCATGGAAAGGAAGAAGGAAGAAAAAAAAGGGGAAA